GGGATGACGATTCCGAGGACGTGTTTGACGAGTGCAACTCCTCCGAGGTCGAGCGGGTGAAGAAGGAACAAGGTGCTGTATCCATTGTCATCCGAACGCCGAAGAAGAAGCAGAAGACGCAAACAGGAATTCTTACGCCTTCCTCTAGCCACGACGAGGAGTCAGCAGAATTGCGACACAAGCACCCATCGAACGGTAGCTCTCTCAACAATCCTGCCAGCCGGGGACGGAGTCTCAAAGATGTGCTCAACAAGGCAAAAAGCGGCGAACCCAAGAAAGCCGCGCCGAAAAAGAGTGTGCCCAAGAAGCGCAGCAAGAAAGCCGACCCGGCGCACAATGCAAAGATCACCGCCTTCAGCAAAGTCACCAAAAACTCGAGGGCTGCGACTGGCGATACTGGTAAATCCGTCAAACTGGAAAAGGATGATACGAAACCGATGCATCCGCTTCCGCCTGGTGCGGCGCGCAATAACGGGCCTCTCTTCCCTAACCTGGTCGGTAAAGGAAACACTTCTCCGTGCGGTGGACTCTGGAGCAGCCCTGACACGATTTCTCCCAAATCGGTTCCGAAGGGGATGAAGGATCTACTCAATCCTCCAAGTCCGTGATATTTCCGGTTCGAGTTTGACATTTCTGTACTATTATTTTCTGAACTGCGAGGACTACCGGACGACCGATCCTCATCTGATGTTGTTCGCGGATACCACTGATAGACTATGTGCATATTTGGCGTTAGGTATGGGGATGACTTTGAATTCAATGCACCAGGTCTTGCATTGAAGCTGAATAGCCGATGGATGGTCATGCGGCTGGATTATCTTGTATTTCTGGCTGTATACTCTACGGGATCATGATACTTATTGGACGCATGCGATAATGCGGTTGCTTTAACACCGGCGTTGGTAATGCTTGCTCCTATTCACTTGACAGCTCAGACGAGCCACTGAATCAATAGTACGTGTCAATGACACGAATTTCATCCAACAATCTCTGTATACGTGGTGCTCATCAAATCAGTATTCATTGCGTAGTCTGATGTCTCCGTCTTAAGCAAACGTTCCTCAATATTGTACTATCCCAACCCCAGCCCACTCTGCAGCTGCGTCCCAGGCCCCGACTCGTCTTCGCTCTCTGTCTCATCCGCAGCATCAGGATCCATCATCCGCCTCGGTCGCGAATCGCGATCCAGATCTTCCACCCGATCAATGTCCTCTTCCTGTGTCTCATCTTCATCCTCCTCGTCCTCATCCTCGTCCTCGTCCTCATCCTCGTCCTCGTCCTCATCTTCCTCGATTTCCTCCTCATTCTCCAACCCCTGCTCCTGTTCCTCCTGGGTATCATCTTCATCTTCTTCCTCCTCATCCCCAGCCTGAGCACTAGACGATCCCACGTCCTCAACCCGCTTCACCCTCTTTGCCTCATGCACCGCGCTCTCCTCGTCATCCTCCTGGGGGGCACCCTGCTGCCCCGCCCCAGCCTCAGCACTATTCCCCGCCCCAGACTTCCTCACCTTCCGTTTCCCAGCCTTCATCTCCGTAAACGCCTCCAACTCCTTCTCAAGCCTAGGCTGGAACGCCTCAAGCTCCAACTCGGACAACGCGGTGAAGACATCCGCGGGGGTAACCGTTCGTTTGAGCGTCGCCTCGTTTGCGCTACTTCTTGTCAGCATCCACCCACACCCCGCTTCACCCTCTTTGAACAAGAAGGAGGGAGAGGGAAAGAAAAGACATACTGCGAAGCAAGATACGACACAAACACCGTCGCAGCCTTCTGGATCGCTAGCACCGCATCCTTCTGGATGGCTGTGTTGGGGGGCAGGACCGCTTTCGCTAGTCGGAGGGTGAGCGATCGGGGGAGGAGATAGTCCTGCATACACCTGTCAATCTTCCTGTAGTCGTAGCGACTCGATATGGGTTGGGATATGGGCTACCTCTATACTCACGCCCTCGGCGCGAGCTTTGAGCTGCTGCTCTGTTGCTTGGACGTTCTGGACTGGGGAGGTCTGCGTCTGCGGTTGCGGCGAGGGGCCGTCTGTGTCGGTTGGGGCGTCGGAGGTGGATTTCCGGGTCGGCATTTTCGATTGCTTGCTTACTGTTTAGCAGTGCATCGAGTGTTCTCTGTGGAGGTGCTGCTGGTGATTGGTGGTGGGTAGTCTATGCTGTGGTAGATACCTTGAGGTGGATGACGCGAAAAGTCCGCGGACGCGAGGGTTGGCGCGTGGCGAGCTTTATCTGACCGCTGGAAGAAGGTACTATGTATGTAGCATACGATGGAAGTACAGAACTGCGTGCACTGGTAGAATGTGTGCTTTGACCTAGTTTAGACTATTTATTTATAACTTTTTTGGAAGAATAGCTAGAGTTGGAAGACTACCTGGTGTGAATTATCACAGTGTGCAGATATATATATTCTGCGGAAACCTCATCCACCACCGCATACTTGAAATTTCTAACAACCTCCCATGTCAAGATTACCTGGAGTCAAATCAGGATAATCCACCAAGTATTCTCCGTAGAAGGTCATAATATGAAGTAAGATGGCACGAGCGAGGGGGAGGGCAGATCGGATCTCGACAGAGGGTTTGCTATAGTACTGAATGTAGAGAATGAACTAGATGCTCTAGATGAATGGAAGATGGCACAGCTGCTTATGTAGAGGCCTTGCCTAGATGGCCATTACTGGATCTGAAACTGACATGAACCGTGGTAGAATCCCAGAGATATTGCTATCTATCTAACGTACTGTCCAAAGGAAGACTCAAGAACCGGGACAACGCCTTTTGGTATCCATGAATGACTGAATGAACTGAAGAAAGAAAAGACCGTTCTCATCGTACCGTCTACTCCGCCATCTCCTCGTTGTCGCCCTCACCATTGCCCCAGAGTCCCTCGATCTTGAACTCCGCGGCCCACTCGGTGACAATCTGCTTCGTGTCGACACCCGACTCGACAGGGGCAGTCGAGCCACCCTGGGCAGTCGTCACGACAGAAGGCAGGATGGGAGCGGTGGCCCAACCCTGGATGCGTCCGTCTCTCCAGTCGTTGATCACGGTCATGGCGGCGCTCTCAAGATTTGGTACACCGCCCTTGCCGAGACGACCGCGTTTGCGAGCGACCTGGATCAAGAAGTCGGTGGTCTGATCGTTACCCGACGGGAAGAGCGGCGGGATGTTGTAGAGTTGGAGCATCTTCGACATGAGCTGCTCGGATGACGACAAACGCCTGAGGAGCAGACTGACGGCGGGGATGGGGTCCTCAATCTGCTTGGGAGGGATGGCATTGAGCAGAACCAGGCGGGCATGCTCGTCCTTCTTGTTCTTGCTCTTCTTCTTATCGCCGGCGTTGGGGAAGACGATACCGGGCGAATCAATGAGTTTGAGCTTGCTGTCCAGCTTCACCTGTCTCAGACTGGTGGTCACGCCGGCCTCAGCGCCAGTGGGGCATGCGTTGCTAGATCCCTTGTTGAGACGAGCAGTCAGCGCATTGATGACGGACGACTTGCCCACGTTGGGGTAACCGATGATGCCGACCGAGATCGACCGCTTCAGCTGCTTGTTGGCGGCATATGACTTGAGGGCACGGAAGAGCGTCTCCGAGGTGCCCTTGACGGTCAGCTGCTTGTGGTCGAAGGTGTGTGCGTTGGCCGAGCCATTGGCCGCCTTGAGCGGCAGCGTGGGGAAGGATCGTCGCAAATGCAGCAGCCAGCCCTTGAGCACAGGAGGAGGGACCAGATCGATCTTGTTCAGAATCAAGATCAGTCTCTTGGAGCCTCCATCTGCAGCCATCACTTCACGCTCGACCTCCTTCGACCGGGTGCCTTCCGGATCACGAGCATCGAGCACGTACAAGATCACATCCGCAGCCTCAACGACCTGCTTGAACACCTTGTCGAACGCCCGCCGTGAGCTTTCTTTCGAGATGGGCTGTGAGACGAGCTCGGGGATATTGTCGCCCAGTGTAGCACCGCCTTCTTCCTCGTCTTCGTCCATGCCGTCCACATCATCATCATCATCGTCGTCGTCCTCGTCCATTTCGTCATCCTCATCATCCTCATCACCGTATTCGTCCTCATACTCGGCGGCCCGCGCACGGGCAGAGGCAAGCAGAGCAGCCATGGGGTTCGACGAGTCAAGATCATCCTCATCCATATCCTCATCAATCTCTTCGTCATCAATCATAGCGTTGGGGACAGATTCTCCATCCTGTGGCTGCTGTTTCTCGGCCATTCGTCGAGCACGTGCTTCCTCCTTGAGACGCTGTTGCTCCTCTGCCTTCAATCTCTTCTTTTCCTCGATCTCATGAAGAATCTTGTCCTTGAATGGGAACAGATTGGGGATACCGGGATCCTTCTTGATCTTGGAACGCCATTCGGGGTTCTACCGAAGAAGACGTTAGTCTCCTTTGCCCTTTTCACGAACCACGAGAACAAATTTACCTGCTTCGCAAGCTTTTTCGCCTTCCGTTGCTTCGCCGCGGCAGCTTTCTCAATTTTGTGTCGTAGGCGGACGGGCTTCCGCTTCGAATTCTTGCCTGTACTTGACAGTCAGCGACCATATTCCCTGACAACCTAAATAAAATCATACCAAAATTATTCTTGACCATCTTGACAGACTACAGACACAGCCCGTCTGAAAATGCACTCCAGTAAAGAGGAAGACAAAAGTTCTCCAGATAAGCGGCCCAGATCCTCTTCAGATATTTTTTGCAAACTTGGGCCGACGCCAAGATTTCACCGCGCTAAGATAACCGGACTATATCTTGTGCCGATCTCCGGTCCGCGCGGTGCTGGAAACATTGAGTTGGCGGGGTTTGGACTAGATATAGAACTCCATAGAGAGGGGCTATCATTGTACAAAGAATCTTCTTGACGTTCGTTGTGTTGTATATTCATTCATTATAGATTAGACAGTTGCTTACAGTTGACACATTGTGTCATTCGATCTACATTCAAGAATCATTTTCTCTCAACTGGCCTCTACCAACTCAGTTACTCAGCCCAACATGTCCCCTTCCGAAGGCTCATTTTCTGCCCCTCCACAAGTCCACACTTTTGATGGAGTCTTGTCTGACTTCGATGGAACAATAGTTGACTCGACGGATGGTTGGTTCTCCCCAGATTATAGCGACGTCTCTCTCTAACGACATATCCGGGAACAGCAATCGTCAAGCACTGGCACAAGTAAGTCCGCCAATATACGACTATCTACAACTCCTGTATCTAAGTAAAGTCAGAATCGGCGCCGAGCTAGGCGTGGACCCCAAGGTCATCCTCGCCACATCCCACGGCCGAAGAAGCATCGATGTCATCAAGCTGTATGACCCCTCCAAGGCCAACTGGGAATGTAAGTACTCGCCCGCCCTACGTGATCTACCAACCATCGACCCGACACCCAGGCTGACTGTTGGATCCAACAGACGTCAGCTACATCGAAGGCCGCATCCCCAAAGAATACGGTTCCGACGCCGTCGAGATCCCCGGCGCCAGAACCCTCCTCAACGCGCTGGACGAGTCCGGTGCGCGCTGGGGCGTCGTGACGTCCGGGACACGCGCTCTGATCGGCGGCTGGTTGGATGTCCTCAAGCTCACACATCCCAAGGTGCTGGTCGTCGCGGAGGACGTCGAGCTTGGCAAGCCCGATCCCCGGTGCTACCTGCTTGGCCGGTCACGGCTGGACCTGGAGCACTCTACGTCCCTGGTGGTGCTGGAAGACGCGCCTTCGGGCATCCGGGCGGGCAAGGCCGCCGGGTTCAAGGTGATTGCGCTGACGACGACGCACACTCTCGAGCAGTGTCGGGAGGCCGGGGCGGATTGGATTGTGGAGGACTTGAGGAGCATTTCGGTCAAGAGTGTCGAGGACGGGAAGCTTCAGTTGGAAATCAGGAATGCGTTCCAATAAAGGGTGAACAGGAGGGGCAAGACCTCACATGGAATCCAATAGAGGGGTCAATGGTCTGGCCTTTTGTCAATCTTTTTCTGCTTTGTATATAGAATGGTTTACAGAGTAAATATTATAGAAAGATAGTACGATACTTACAAATATTCACCACTTGGGATGAAAATACCTTTGCTGCCAGCTTTAAGCGTCTGACTAATATGACAGGTATGTACTATTGTGCCGGAAGTCCATGCCTTGCATCGTACTAATCAGAGATGTTGTGCCGTTCGCGAATGGACAAAAAAGCCCCAATGACAAATCATCAGCCTTGGTGAACGGCTCTTCTACAGAAGCCAGACCATTTGAACCTTGAAACTCTATTCTCGGTGATCATCCACCGAGTATCTAGCCGAACGGACCGATCTGGGATCGGTTCACACTGTATGAGCCTATATTGACTGTTGGCCTAGAAACCAGATTCAAAACGCCTAGGAAAAGAGCCATGAACCCCTTCCTAACACTGTGATGAGCTCAGATCCACTTTGAACCCACCACCTCGAATCCTGGCGGTGAAGACCTTGCGTTAAGGAGTCTGTCGGACAATTCCTAGGGTCGGGTACAGTAGTGATGCTCATATTGTCAGCTTCACCTGTGCTAGAAGGACACTCAGCGCGATGGCAGACTCTTCACCGCTCCACGATCATGCTCTCGGTCTGATATGTCGTAAGTGAGCAGACAAGAACCGCGCAGCTCCATAAGATAAATAGAACAGACAACGCTTGCGCCTAGATAACAAAAGCATGATGCTGGAGCTCTGCCAGAGTAAGCTTGCAGCTGCAGTTATGTACAGTATTCTCGGCATGCTCACCGACACCCTCAAGTTCTGGAGGAGCTCATGGAGAAGACAGGACGGGCTGCAAGCGACAGCTCATTGCATGAACGGGTTCGCAGCATGCAGATAGATCAAAATCCAAGCCAGATCCCACATCTAGGCTTGTCTGTGGCTTGCTGCAGCTTCTTTTGCCATTCGAAGTAGTTTCCACACGAGCGGAGTGCAGTTAAGGAGTCGATAGAAGGAGGCAATTGAGTTCTGGAAACTGGGGAGTCGATCAGTCTTGCCGATCTAGAGTCAGAAATCTGATATGTATCATTTCTCCCGTTTCTTCCGCAACGAGAGATCGAAAAGTGGCGCTTTTACTCAGAGCTGGGTCTGATATGGCATGTAAGGGGTAGGAGGGTCTACCAGGATTCGAGATTGTGGGAATCTTTTGCTTCAACTTTCCTTGACCGTTCTGATTATGAATGTAAGCCTGCGGTTTGAACATCTGGGAGCAAAGTGGCAGTTGCAGTAAGAGCAAGAAGAATTGACTTTTAACCCGCAGCCCCTGGAGGAGTCAGTTGCAGGTAGAAGTCTTCGTCTGGGAAGCACAATTGCAGTGCATTATCTGTTCTGGTCAAGCTGTTTCTAATATGGCAGCAATGCTCAACGGGCGCATGGTAGCTGTTTCGACCACATTGAAGCTTCTATTGATACTGCTTCAGAACAAAAGTAAGTACATGCCATCAAGCGGGGATACCGTCAGTAGCCGGTCCCCTTGACTGGAGACATCGGACCGTTTTGTGGCCATCACAAGCTGTATTATTGTGCTGAATGACAAATTCCTGTCGATATAAATGAGGTTCTTGGGCTAGAACCGAGCAAGTTCCCAAGGGTGGCTGACATCAGAGTCACCGTCACGGAGCAATTGAATGTTTTTGTGGCGCTGCAAGCCAGTGCTGAGTGAGGAGGAATGATCAGGAGGATGACTACTGGACTAGTCGAGTTCTTTCGTGGCTGATACAGGACTTTTACCTCAGGTACCTCCGCATGTATCTTGGCATTGTTAACTTTCAAGGAAGCTCCAGCTGGCGCATCATGACCGTAATTACGAGCGAAACGAGGTCGCTGTAATAGGTACTGGGAGGAGCCCGATGCATTGAAAATCCTGGGATCGTCGTGACAGTACGGATCGCTGGCTTAAGGGGGTGGAGTACTCTGAACTGTGAGTCCGTGACTCGCCCTTTAGATACAGGAGATCCCCCAGTGCCAAGTCAACCTTATGCCTGGACAGGGATATGATAACACTACTATGATGCGATTTGTTGATCATCTAGAGTTCCCTGAACCCCCAGCCCTGCTCATACCGATTTAGTCCTAGCCTTCGAACAGGATCTAGGAGACTTTGCTGAGTAAATTTCGAGGAAAGCCTCACCTTGTTGGACCTGGACCGTGAGCAATCGCTGATCAGTGATCACCTTATGATCGACTCGGAAAATATTCTCCTCCATTGTCGAAGTGTTGCTAGTCAAGTTCTCAATTTGAAATCACTCCTTCGGGTGACAACGGCTTCTTTCAGGTCCAATCACGACGTGAGGGATGTTCTTGAACGCAAGTCTGTGCAATTGCATCAGATTCGCCTGCGGATCAAACGAGGACTCCAGCAGTCAATGCCTGCCCTGTGATCCTCGTTTGACCATTTTCGACAAGCGCACAACTTAATTTCTGGATCGCCAGGTTCTGATGATCAGCAATTCGTTGCTGATTAGCCCAAAGACGCTGTACTTGTTCCTCAGCAGAGTCCCCTGCTGTCTTTTTCGGTCTACACTAAGGATATAAGATGTTCTACCTCCACAGAAGTGCACAGAGTACACGTGAACAGCAACTTTATTGGTTGTAATTCGTTCGAAGCCCACCTAAGCGCTGTCTATCGCAATTGCTGACTTGTGAATTAACTGCATGATGTGAGCTCCGAAAGTGGCATTAAAAGCCAAGAATGTGGCGATTGTCTCAAGGAAAGGGACTTGAAATTCTAGGATGGGTGCCAGAATTATTACTCGATGTTCTAACTTTGTCAACGGATAATCACCAGCAGCGTGACTGAAACGGCTGTCAGAAGCTCAAAGCCTCACTTATTGGTGAGAGGACCGAGTGCTCAGTTGGCATCAAAAACCAGCAGTCCAGCACATCAGACAAAGCGTGGTAGGCGAATGAGATACATATGATACATCGCGTAAAGCACGCCCCCTAACATGGTCTAGCATGGCCTCGGGCTCGAGGACCTGGTTTCATCTTTTTAGACTCTTACAGCTGCATGGGGGAGCTCTTTAGAACAGCTACCTCGTGACTTCGGGCAGCGCTTCAGACTGCGTCATGAGCAGCGGGGCGTTGAGATATGGACAACCACCGCATTGACAATAGCCACAGAACCAGGAAGCCGGGAAACAGCAAATGAAAGTCTAATCGGCCCAGCATTAGGACAGCCTAGGGCGCTGCATGTGCAAATGCGAGCATTGGAGCAAAGAGGAATAGCGGAAGAGAGCTGGCTTACAGATCCCGGGCACTGATCGTCGGGATCTGTCGACTATTGATGTTAGCCAGCTTAGTGGGGCCTGGCTGACTCGCTTTCAGCCCTTCTGCGGCTCCTGCTCTGTTGTCGGCTTGTAGGCTGTAGCTCTTCGACTTGGAGAAGGATAAAATTCTTACGAAAGGATTAGCAACCACATGCAAAGGGATGACAGAAGCGCCAAAAGCTGCAGGACCTGCATCGACTGCTTGCGTTGTAGTGCAAAAGAAGGTTCAGAACAGCACCACTACCCTAGTTACTGATCACTGCACGCACTTTTGCGCTGGGCTCAAGAGTGTGCAACTCCCGTCGAAGAAATACAATTACGAAGTAGAGAGTAACAAGAATCCCTTCTGGAACATAGGTACAGACTTGCTCTTCCATTTGGCCGGAAGATTGGGCCGTCCGATGATCTCCTCCGCATGGCCCATAAACCATGTGAGAAAGACGTAAGGACTAGTAAATCAAGTCATAGCTTCGTCTCATGCTTAATACAGTTGGTGTATGAGAGTCCCACAGCTCAAGAACACAGCCAAGAAGCCCTTTTTAAAAAAGGTGGTATAATTCAGGTCCTGGAAACCTCAGGACAGCCAGGAACATGGACACCCTAATAATTTACCATACGGTAACAACAATACCTCTATAAGATGAAGAAACTTTGGGCAATTCAAAGATGGGGCCTGCTTGGTGGGGTCGACGGTCCGCAAGTGCTAACCAGATCCAGAATATGTACATCTCAGGTGTGAGGACTGAGCCCATCAGAATCCACACAGCTTGATCACAGGGCTTTCTAACATAGACAGATCGTCCAATGAGAGGCTGCTATCAGTCCAGCAAGACATCACGCCCAACTAAGTCATACAGGCAACAGCAATTCTGAAGACGTGGTGGTCTCCATCAGTGGAGACCTGGACAGAATCCATCTATGATAGCATCTCTACATCTAAATGGTTATGTAGAGGGACTGGGCCCGGTATTTGTCATGCCATTGTTGCCACGAGCATGATCGTCATGACTTCCAGTAGGAATATCCGTTAAGGAGAGCCTTATGGGCGTTACCCTAGGTCCTTAGTTCCTTGGATTAACACACCCTTGGGTCCCTGAAGCTAAATCGGGCTTCAATGGCGCTAATGCAGGAACTGACGAAGGATAATGGGAACCATCAGGGTAAACCGTAGGGCTCTGGATCATGGTATCCCTCGGAGTGCTGATACAAGTGGCATACTCTCGTCAACCCTCGAGATCCAGACTATTGCACGTACAATTTGTCATCGCAGACAATGCAAAAATAGACTTCCCCGCTGAGGCAGTTTCAAAACGACACATTGTTTCAACATGCTATCAGAGACTTAAAGTTATGCTGCTGAAGTAGGGGCTGATCAGGGCTAATAGACTGTGGATTTCTTCGGGGAGGACTGGAGGAACCAGTGGTCCAGTTCTGACGGAAGCATGCAAATCAGGCTGTTAGAGCGCTGTGCGATAACTGCTAACTAACGGCTGAGCTGTGAAACCTCATGCTAATTTGCCATTCTACTGGGAGGATGGTGCTTCTGCAGCATGGACAATGTGCATGAACAAATGTGCATGACTTGCCAGTGGCGATAAGCAGTGTGATGATCTGTAGGCTAATTTGGATCT